TTGAGCAGGGTGAGGTGACACCATTTACCCCATCTAGGAGGGAAAATGCCCTGGTTCCTTTGTCTGTCACTGCCTGGGGCAGGTGGGGTCCCTCAGGGCAGTGTGAAGGACCCCCCTGGCTATTCCTGCAGGTAAAACTCCCTGCCTCAGCCTCGCTGAGAGCTAGGAGGGAGCAGGGCTTGCCCCAGCCAGTGCCTTGCACAGGGACCGCTTCACTCTGGAGACAAGGCTCAGGGCAGCGATGGTGCGATGGAGGGATGCTTCTCCCACCAGCGCTGCTTGCTGCTCCTAGTGATTGTCCCTTCCAGGCTGAGAAGGGCAGGGCACCAACCCAAAAGCAGGGTGCTTTTCCTGGCACAGAGGGATACGGATGGGCTGAGGAGGAGGAATCCAGACCCTGCTCTCCCTTTGGTACTCAAGCGTTTTTGTGTCATTCTGGAGTAGTGCACCCACAGAACTTCATATAGAAAGAAATTAAATTTCCGTACTATGAATAGCAATAGGGAATAAAAACCATTCTGTATCATGTTTACTACACCCATTCATACATCCATAAATTATTTTTGCAAAAAAACTTACCAGCCTAAGCATCTGATCCCCTTGCTACTTTTTCCCTGATTGCCACCCTATTTCCTTCCAGGAGAAAGCTGCTTCCCAGAAGAAGGGCTCTGTATCACTGCTGCTACAGCCGCTCCTCAGGCAGCACGCCGCGCGGCTCCGCTGGGGCAGCTCTACATGCACGCCCATCACAACACTTCATTTTAGGAGTTTCCAAACCGTTTGTGCACTACGCAAAGCTTTTCATATAGATGAAACATTTTTTTCACTCCCATACGGCTGGGAAGAGTTGCACTCAGGCGTTCCAAATTACTTAACTCCACATCAAATGAAACATATTAGCTCCATCGCTTTCCAGTGGCTGATCTATGCGGAAGAAAAATAGTCTATTACTATTACCAGCCAGGAGATGCTTTTCAGAGCAAGCGGTAGGAATTGATGTTCATATTGTTAAAACCCATGGATTAAAGTCCTGTTGATGACCTGTTACTGAGACTTGGGCTGAACTGTGGAAAATTACAATTAAAAAAGTGTATTTTTCAGAATACAATGAACAACTACAAAAAGAGGTTTCAAACGAAAGTTTCTTTGTAAGCCCCACTTGTAACTACACAGTAGCATTCACTGCTTCTAATATCTACAACTTATACCCAGGAGCCTGCACACTCACATATTTTCTGTTTTATACCCTGGGAAAAAAAATAGAAATTGAGTATATATCGGCTAACACCCACACAGCATTCTTCTTAATGTATTTCTACAACTACCAAGCAGAGGTCTCCTTGTAAATAAAAGCAGTCTCTTAAATTTATATTGCACTTCTCTTCTGCAGGGACTTTCATACTATGTACAGGAGTAATCTCCACCATCACTGAAATGCAGCCACCTCTGGAGCGGAATAAAGCAGCTACTCGATAGGCACAGAGCAACATAAAACATCAGGAAGAGAAACATAATGTTGGGGACGCAACAGATATTTAAGAAGACAGTCTGTAATTAAGTTTAAGGACTGTAATTTAGACAGAACACTGTGAAAAGTGTGAGGGGATCTTTAATTGCGAGGAATAAGGAGCATGGCTTTATATCTCACCTGGGATGCATTACCACCACAAGAATTGCCCCCTCAAGCAAGCATGGGGTAGTAAACCACAAATACCACTGCCCCCAGAGAGGAGGGACACTGCCTCCCCCCACCCCATCATTGCACAGCTTCTCATCCTTGCTGCTGAAGCGCTTCTTTCCTCTGCTATGCTCTCTCAGCACATCTGCCAGGGAAATGAGGTCCTTCCTTTCGTCCTCCGTACTTCTGACAAGCTGAGGCACTTGGGTTAATGACTGTCCCCCAAACTCACCACCAGCTGCTTTCTAGCCAGAGATAAAGGAGTGGAGGTCTAAGTGGGAAGGGGCTTCCTGAGACTTTTACTGAAGCTGATGGGCCCACACCTGGCAGCAGGAGAAGGCTTCGCTTCTGGCTGGGGCAATTTGATTGCTCTGTCCTGGACCCACTGCCACCAGTGGGCTTCTTGCCCCCTGCACCATGGGTTGGCTTGGTGAGGCACTTTTACATCCTTCCTCGCAGGAACTGGCAGCAGGGCATGGACACCCTCCCTGCAGATGTCCCTTTCTAAAAATGTGGTGCCCCTTTGCTGACACTTGCCTCACAGATAACGCTTTGTCCCTGATCCTGAACCTTCAGGCTGCACCTCTCCAGCCCCACAGCACCTCTGCTGCCCACCAAACATGCTTGTACAACCCCAGCTAAGCACCTAGTAGAAGCAAGGCCACAAAGGTCTCTGCCTCAGATCCTAGAAGGTGAGGTGGTTGCCCTGGGCTATCTCTTGCCGATGGGGAAATGCTCCTGTCTCCACCTTCTGCCCAGCAGAAGCCCCCTGGAACCAGCAACGTAACACAAATGTTTTGCTGCTGACAGATCAGGAGCCACCACGAAGCAGCCAAGGGCTCCTGGAAAGCACTGTCTCGCTTCTAGGAGGGAAAACGGACTCTTATCAGGACTGGGGTGATGACTTTGGGCCTCCAACAAGCATGGAGGAAAGGAAGAGCATAGGACTGAAAGAACTCAGCTAAAAGATGATGGTGGCACTGGCTGCCCATGAAAATGGCAACAGATAGCAAGAAGAAGAATTGCTGTCAGAACCACCAGCATCTGCCTGGCCCTGGGAGATAGCCACAGGTCTCCCAGTCAAATATGCAGTGTGATCGAGGTCTAGGTTGTGGAGGGAGGAGTGGAGACCAAAAAGACCCAGTCCTCATTCTTGGAAGTGGAGAAAAGCAACAGGAGCAAGGGAGACCCGCATCATCTCCTCTGACTGTCTTACAAGGCCTCCTGTGAAGGAGGTCCCCTTGTCCCTCAGAGATGATGTCCTTTCTTTCTCTGACAGTGGCCAGGGAGCATTACTGCAGATGAATACCCTTCCAGGAGCTAGAGAGTGATGGGTTTCAAGACTTCAAACTGGATCTCTTGGGAGTTAAATAAAAGCTTTCCTCCTCCATCAGTGGAGGATATGAGGCACCAGTTGTTGCTGGAAGCTGAGGAATGCAGGAGGCAGCTAATACATTCGGGTGGTTTTAGACCAACACAGTTGTCTCAGAGAAGCTGATATATCCATCAGAAATGGGTAAGCAGCCATGGGTACTGGGGTCTGTGGTGAGAGAGCTAGCTCATCGTACATCTGTGGTGCCCCAGATATGGAGTTTGGATGGGGTATCCCTTAGGGGTAAGAGTCTCACTTAACTGAACTGCCAGAGTGTGGGCTGGTAACCCCCAATTGACCATCCTGTGGGGCTAACTCTGCCCTGTGCAGGGACATAAGTCATGCTCAGAGCTGCTTCCAGTAGCCAGCAAGGCTATCACAGCTCCCACTTGGCCAGTGCAGGACAGACCCTTCTCTGGAGCCACACGTGCCTCCAGCCTGAGGAGGTCAGGCCAGACCTGCTGCAGGTCTGCCACGGAGAGAGACATCGGCTTTACCCTTTCATGATGCCAGCAGGAAAAAGGTGAATTTACCCCCTTCTTGTAACCCTGTTCCTCAGTGGGGAATGGGGCCACAGTTCAGCACAAGCCCCTCTTTTGGGTCAAGCTTCCTGCCTCCATCCTTCTTGGGGCACTTTCCTGCCTGGTCCACCTTTCAGCTCCTCTGCCTGTGCTTTGGCAGTGCATGCAAAAAGGCTTCAGAAGGGGAGAGGGTGGTAGCGGAGCTGCCTGAACTGCTGGCCCAGGGGCTAGGTCATGGGCATGGGACCCGCTCTCTGGCTGAAGAAGGTTTAAATACCTGACTCTTCCCATAATCCAAAAAGCTTGAGGTGGGGAAAGTTAAGCAATGGAATAAAAGACCAAAATAAATAGGTAATGAAAGAAAAGCAGAGAAGCAATCCTGGGCTTAGGGTTGAGGTGACCGTCATCCCAGCATTCACAGGGGGAAGTCAATGTGCAACTGCTCCTCCCTTTCCATCCCATCCCATCCCATCTCATCCCTTCCCACCCTGCCCCATCCCTCAGCCCCACAGAGACACCTTTCTCTCTGCAGCTCAGACCTACTCTCATAGTTTCTCCACCCAGCAAGAGGGCTGTGAGAGAAAGAGGCTCTCAGAGGCCAACACCGCAGCCGGATCCAGCCGGGACTTCTCCACCACTCAGCGTGGTCCATGTGATGGGTCCATT